ACTGTCTTCCTGCCAATTTCTCCATAGTAAAATAGGATCAAAACAAAACAAAAACAAGATATTTTCTGCTTCTACTTTTTTGTAAGTTATTCTTCAAAATGCTGTAATTAGAACACTCCAGTTTTGGGGCTGGAGAGATGGCTCAGAGGTTAAGAGCACCGACTGACTGCTCTTCCAGAGGTCCTGAGTTCAATTCCCAGCACCCACATGGTGGCTCACAACCACCTGTAATGAGATCTGGCACCCTCTTCTATATACATAATAAATAAGTAATTCTTTAAAAAAAGAAAAAAGAAAAAAAGAAAATCTTTAGCCGGGCGGTAGTGGCGCACGCCTTTAATCCCAGCACTCGGGAAGCAGAGCCAGGCAGATCTCTGTGAGTTCGAGGCCAACCTGGGCTACCAAGTGAGTTCCAGGAAAAGGCACAAAGCTACACAGAGAAGCCCTATCTCGAAAAACAAAAAAACAAACAAACAAAACAAAACAAAACAAAACAAAAAAACCAAAAAGAAAAAAAAGAACACCCCAGTTTCAGTTCTTTGTATTATCTGCATGCTTTTCATAAAGTTCAGTGTGATTAAAAAACCATCTAGGAGTACACAAAGCTGGTGATGTATGTGTACTGGGAAGAAAGGTGAAAAGCAGCTAGAGGTCCAATACAGCTACTGATCGTGGCAATGCCCATTAGCTAGATACATGATCTCTTCAGCCTCTGTTCTGGTTTTAGGAACTAAATTAGATGATATTTATTTAACTCTAAAAATGTGTTTTCTAATTGTGGAAATATGTAAATCCTTATTTCATGCAGTTTTTTGTTTGTTTGTTTTTCCTTTCTTAGAAGAATGCTTTAATTTAAAAAGTCATTAGTGAAAATTCCTTGGCTGGTTAAAATAAAGACAGCATAAGAAAGCACTTAAAAGTTTTTAAGGAATATCACTCGTTTAGTCAAGTGGTGGTGATGCACACTTAATCCCAGCACTCAGGAGGTAGAGTCAGGAGGATCTCTCTGAGTATAAAGCCATCTTAGTCTACAGAGCAAATTCTAGGACAGCCAGGGCTACACAGAAAAACCCTATCATGAAAAACCCAGAGAGAGAGAGAGAGAGAGAGAGAGAGAGAATATCACTCTTTCTTCTTAGGGTCTATACTTTTTATGACTTGTTCTTATTTTTTTTCATATTTTCACTTTACTGAAGTGTCAGATAAATACTGATTCTATTAGACTAATAGGAATTGTTTCTTCTTTATCATTGAGTATCTGCTATTTATTTGAATTTCCATATTGACTTTGAACCTATGTCTTATTCTCCAGTTTATGTGAGAGAATGAGAATTCATGCAATTGTATGCTCTTATTTTTCCCTTTTAATAAAAACAGATTTTTAAAATATAGTATGTCCTCATTATGGCTTCCTCTCCCTCTACTCCTCCCCACCCCTCTTCCCATATGGACCCACCCTCTTTAGAAAACAAACGGGTTTCTAATGTCATATTAAGGCTTTTTCTTTCTCTTTTAAATTTTATCTTTTTTTAGTTTTTATTTTTTTACTCTTGTGGGTCTTGTTCCTCATTAGAAAACAAACAGGTTTCTCAGGGATAAAATAAAATATAAAAGGTAAAAGAAAAACATTGAAATAGAACAAAATAAACAAACAGAAGAGAAAGATCTCAAGAAAAGACACAAGAAACAGATACAGACACAGAGACCCACTTGTTCACACACTCAAGAAATCCCATAAAAACACAAAACTGGAAGCCATAGTAAACACACAAAGAACTTGTAGGGTTAAAAAAAAGAGTAAAAAAAAAAATAAAAAAAATTATTAAAGTTAAAAAAAGAAATTTAAAACATGACATTATGAGACAAGGATCCTCCAAAGATGCTTTTAACTTCATTTTTTGTTGGCCATCTACTACTGGACATCCAACCCACCCTTAAGAGCTATTTGTTTTTCCAGTGAAGACTCCTTTCCAGAAAACTAAACTTTCAGTTGCAAGTGGTTATCAATTGAAGGTAGCATCTGGGTCATGGATGAGGGAATATGTCCATTATTCCTTTGAGCTCTAAGATTCTATCTGGTACAGACCCATGGAAGCCTTGTGCATACTGCCTGAGTCTCCTTGATTTTATATGTCCTGTTTCATTCCCTTGATGTCTTCCATCTCCTCTGGCTCTTACACTACATCTCCTCTTCCACAGGTTTCCCTAAGTCCTGAAGGGAGGGAGGGATGGAGACAGTTTAGGGCTGAGTATCTCAAAGTCTCACACTCTCTGCTTATTGTCCAGTTGTGGGTGGCTGTATTTGTTCCTATCTGGTGCAGGTGGAAACTTCTCTCCTGGTAGCTGATCAAGGCACTGATCTTTGACAACAGCATAATGTCATTAGGAGTATTTTACAAATATGTTGCTTCAGTAGAATAGAAGTATTTGGTTTTATCCTAGGTCCCTGGGCTATTTAGTCTCAGGTTCTTAGCCATCCAAGGAGCACTGGGCATGGGTTTCATCTTGCAAATTGGGCCTTAAGTCAAATCAGATATTGGCTAGTTTGTCCCACAAGCTTTGTGATATCATTTCCCTAGTATATTTTTCAGGCAGGACACCATTGCATATCGAAGAGACTGTAGCTGGGCTGGTGTTTACATTTCTCCTTTGTAGCAGAGTGCCTTTCCATATGAAGAACACACCAAACCAGGGGGTCTTTGTGTAGCCCTGGTTGCCTTAGAACTCACTCTGGAGAGCAGGCTGGCCTTCAACTCAGAGTTCTGCCTGCCTCTGCCTCCCAAGTGCTGCCACCATGCCCAGCTTATTTCACATTTAAAGGCAAACAGATGTCTGATTATGGGGCAAGGCAAATGCCACCCATGGATGTCTAGCAGTGTGGCAGGTGGTGGTGATCAATCACAACAGGATCTTTTACAGACTCCTCCTTCCTTCCCTCATTCTACACTTCAAGCACATGGAAGTTAGCAGATTAGAAACCTTTCTGAAACCACAGTTCTCACAAAATTTCTCTTTTTAAATCATGTCTTATCTTGTAAAGAGACGTAAAAGTGAATTCTGCTTGTGAAATGAAAACTTTTCAGAAATTGTCTTTTTGGTTAATGTAACGCTTACCTGACTCAGCATCCCTTTGCAATTTATAAAGCCAAAAGTCATTGTGAGCCAGTCCTGGTAGGGAAGGAGGCCTACAATTCCAGCTACTAGGGAGGCTAAGGCAGGCAGACCATGTGTTCAAGATTTTCTTGTGCTTCAGAACAAATCCAAGGCCAGCCTGAACAATTCTTCTAGACATTTTTTTTCTCAGAAGTAGTATATTAATGAAAGAGGGCTGGGATAGAGTTCAGTAATATGTCACTGGCCTAGCATGTGCAAGGTCCTGGGCTGAATCCCCAGTACTAAGAAGAAACCATAGTGAAAGGGGAAAAGGCAGTCTTTATCTGAACATTTCAGAAGAGAACATTAGTCTTAAATCTCTAATGAAGAACTTGGTACTGTCCTCATCACCATCCTGTGTACATTCCATTTGAGAAAATATGACGGACACAGAGGACAGACGCTAAAACATCACCCGCAGCTGATGAGTAAGTATGTATTTATGGGCTGGCTGATAAGTAAACGACTGTTCAGCTGTGTGGTCCAGATGTGAACTACAGGAATTCAGAGTACACAGTACCTATGTGACCTAACAGGCTTCTTAAGATTTTTGTTTTCAGCACTGTGAGCTCCCAGGAAGAATGTTTGGTATGCTGGCCAAAGACCAAATTAGTCAGTAGCTTTGAATAAAGCTATGCTTCCAAAATTGACCCTGTAATAAAGGCAGAGAACCCAGGAAAGAGCACAACCAGCGATAATGAGACTCATTCGCTGAGGCCTCACTCATGGCACAGTTGCTCTGACAGAACCATTCAAAGGAGAAGAATATGGGGCCTGCTTGTTTACAAAAGGCTTTCAGACAGTATAGTTTTTGAGCTGAGTTTCAATTATCTCTGAAGAGATAAAAGAAAAACTCTATGACAATGGACTTAGTTTCACAATGTTGCTATTTATTAATTCCCCAAATAATTTATAAGTAATAATATAGAATCTTAATTCAAATTAATTTGGTAGTAAAGTACAATACTGCATATTGTATATATAAAGAAAGATTGATTTCTTTAAGCTCAGCTAGGGCATTTGTGAGCCCTAAAGGATAGTGTAGAAATCTTTACTGTAGGACACGTCAGAATGGACTTTAGAAATATCGGAACTTTGAGGTTCCGATGAACAGGCTGTCACTGATGAGCAGTTCCAATCACAGAATGGACAAGTATGATTGCACTTCTTTATTCTTCAAGAATTAACTCCCAAAACATTGCTGTTTTGGGACATTTTGCTAAATTTCTAAATTATCTGACTTTGAGAAAAATGCAGTCATATCTGTTGGTAATATTCAGAAATCAGGTCACAGACAGGCTTATTTTGTAGAAGAAAGTACAATTCTATGGATTTAGTGACCTGCCAACCTCTTTTATGTAGCCAAATAATTCATCTATATGTAATACACAGGATCCAACAAAAATAACCATCCCAGCTTATGATGAGAAAAATACATTCTGAGGGGAAATATTTGGATGGTTGAAATACATTTAAAAATAATAAAAGTTAAGAAGCTAAACTTAGAGGATTCTCCATGAGCAACAAAGACTTCTGGATTATCTCCAAATAGCCAACGGGAGTCTTCCCGTTAGACATGTAATACATTGGTTCAGACAAAACAAATGTGATTTATTTATATATCTTTAATAGTATTGCATTTGTGATATTTCACTTATGAGCAATGGTGGCCAACATCTACACAAAGAAGCCACAGAGGAGGAAAGGAAAAATCCACATTCCATTACACAAATGCATGTTCCCTTGGCTTGGTTCCTAGAGCAATGTGGGTGCAAACTGAAGGAAACTTGCAGAGATCTGCCAGTCCCTATCCCCAACCGTTTTCTTTAAATTGATGCGAGGAATCCCATGAAGGTGGTTAACAGGTTAAAGGGGAGGTGCTGGTGGTGTTCTTCTATTGACATGCTTTAGGACTGTGAGGCTCTGAGTCTCCTGTTCTAGTCTTGTTCTTCTATTTTCAAGATAGGTATGGTCTGCTACCTTTGGTTTTGATTCTTTTATTCTGAATCATGGAGAACTCTCTGATGTTTTTTTCCTTGAGGAGGGTCAAGCTCAATTAAATTTTAACTATTTTAATTCTTTTGAAATGAACTGACTGGCACATCACAGGGAATTACATTACCAGATTGTTTAACTTAGTACTTCTTTTTTATTTCTTCAGAATATTTTGCTTTAAACTCAAACTCATACCATGAGATAAAGTCCCTGTGTATTTTGTAGTAGGAC